ACTTACAAAAGTTGCCTGTGAACGCGATCCACACTTGGGATGATCTAGTAAGAAAACTCTTAATCAAGTTTTCCCACTAAAAAACAAAGTCGCTGAGGAGCCAGATTCTTGGGCTCCAACAACGGGATGGGGAGACTCTTCGTCAAGCTTGGGAAAGATACAAGAAGCCACTCAGAGACTTCCCACATCATTGTTAGACTGATGAGGTGTTGGGTCACACTTTCGTTGATGGGTTAGACGAGACATCAAAGAATCCTAACTCAGCTTGTGGGGGTAGTTGCATGGTAAGACCGTATAGTGAAATCCAACTCCTGCTAAAAAAAATTCACTGCTAATGATAATAATTGCCAATGAGATGGGGAATCACAAAGAGCACTTAAACAGAAGGCAGCAGGTGTAATTAAGCTTGATGATTTCTCAACCATGAGAGCAGATATAGCGAAATTAGCAAATCAGATGAATAGAATGACAATGCACCAAATGCAACAGATACAACATATGCAACAAATGTCTACTTGTTGCGAGTCATGTGGTGAAGGTTACACGAGTGACATATGTCCCACGAATCCTGAATCCATCTATTATGTGGGGCAACGAAGTAGAGGTCCGATGAATCAGCATACACAATATGGGAACACTTATAACCCAAATTGGAAGAATTATCCCAACTTCTGTTGGGGTGGAAATCAGGTGACTCAGAATCAGTATAGGCCCCAAGGAAATTATAGTCAACCTCAGAAGCCACCCTAGTAAGTCGAGGAGAGTATGAATGACCTGTTGAAGAAGTTTTTGCTTGACAATCAACAACTCAGGAACGATTTCAGAAATATTGAGAGACAAGTTGGGCAGTTAGCATCAAATAAAATAACTAGGCCTGCACGCGCTCGTCCTAGTGATACAGAGAAGAACCTCAAGTTAACGCAGTCACACTCAAAAACGGGAGGGAACTAGAAGAAGCACCAAAGAAGAGAATAGATAAGCCTATACCTGAGGGGGAGTTGATTCCTAAGGAAACACCTGAGTCAAAGAAAGATGATGCAAGTTTAGAGCCAGCGAGTGCTGCAAGGCCACCACCACCTTTCCCCCAAAGGCTACAGAAGAAGAATAATGATCGCATGTTTAACAAATTTCTCTCTATGTTGAGCCAGGTTCAATTAAATATTCCATTGGTGGATGTACTTCGTGAAATTTCAAAATATATTAATGTTTACCGTGAAAATGGTAATAACAATTTAATTTGTTGATGGGACTCTAAAAATACGTGATCTATTTTTATGCTAGTTGTTTAAGCGGATGATGCTATGTGTATGAAGTTTAGAGACGAAATTCGAGCTAAAATAGAGTTACAATTTCAAACCGGTGAGCTAGCCAATCGGGGCCTCGGGCTGATCGATACGGGGCCTCGAGGCCGATTCAAGGGCTCGGGCTCGAGCTATTAAGGATAATCGGGGAGGGGCTAACAGTTATAAAATAATCAGCGAGGCTTTTTATAGCCAATGATAAGTAATAAATGAAGAACAAGTATGAATACGATAAATGAGAGCAATAATATCAAGAGAATATGTTAGAGAGAGAAAGGAGAATGTTCTTCTATATTTCATGCGGAGTAATTGGAGCAACAGACATTACAAAGTGTCAAAGACCCCCTTTATATAGGAAGGAAATCCCAACATAGTACAAAATACATTAATGACAAAGGAGTAGGGATGGGACAGCTAGTTAATGCCATGATGTAGGCTCAGACTAACTACTTCAGAATAGCTTGACAGATTTTATCAGCCCTGGCTACACTCCTTGGGAATTCCCCTCTTCCCCAGTATAGTCGTTGGTCTGCACTGCCCTGAGGTCGAAACCCGATAGCCCTCAAAGGTGAGCTTCGACCTCGGTCTCGAACCTCGAGAAGCACGTTCGCGGGGCACCCTAATGATGGGGGAAATGGACCTCCCGATTTTGCCGTATACAGTTAAGTACATCAAATATATAGTGGCTCACAAGAGGAGATTAACTGAATTTGAGACAGTTGCACTTACTGAGGAGTGCACTTCGAGGGTCCAAAACAAGCTTCCTCAAAAGTTTGAGGACCCTGGCAGCTTCAAATCTGATGCCCTTGTCCTTGTTCAATAAATTGGGTCTGGGAGCTCCAAGACCAACCACTGTGATGTTGCAAGTAGCTGATAGATCCATAGCTGACCCTGAAGAAGTGATTGAAGATGTGTTGCTACAAATTGGGAAATTAATATTCCCAACGGACTTCATTATCCTAGATTATGAAGCTGATGAACAAGTTCCAACCATATTGGGACGACCTCTCTTGGCTACAGGTGATGCAATTATTAATGTATGAGAGGGAAAAATGATTATGATGGTGGATAACGAGGAAGCGGTTTTCAATGTTTACAAGGCGGTTCAACTTCCCTGCCATTATGATGAGCTCTCTATGATATCTGTTGTGGAGGTGGATGAGAAACTGGTAGATCAGAGTGCATATCTAGACGATTCTCTAGAGAAAGCACTCATGTTGTTTGATAGCTTGGAGATTGATGACGAGGTTGAGGAGATGATGCATATACTAGATGCATCATGTGTCTACATGCAAGGATTAAACCCCTTTGAAACCTTAAATAGGCCGAGTGGGCCTCCACTAGTCGATTGAAGAGGCTCCAAAATTGGAACTTAAACCCTTGCCCCCTCACCTTCAATATGCTTATTTGGGTGGTTCTAACACTCTACTTGTTATTGTTTCCTCTGACTTGTCTAAATTGTAGGAAGAAAAGATGTTAAGAGTGTTGCATGAGCACAAGCGAGCTATTGGGTGGACGATGTCTATCATTAGAGGCATTAATCCAGCCTTCTACGTGCATAAAATCCTCATGGAGGAAGGACACAAGCCAAGTGTAGAGCACCAACACCGCCTAAATCCGATCATGAAAGAGGTAGTAAGAAAAAAAATGATTAAGTGGATCGATGCAGATATTGTATTTCCAATCTCTGATAGGAAATGGGTAAGCCCTGTCCAATGTACGCCTAAGAAGGGAGGGATGACTGTAGTGGTTAATGAAAATAATGACTTGATTCCCACAAGAACTGTGATATGGTGGAGAATTTGCATAGATTATAGAAAATTAAGCAATGCCACCCGCAAGGACCACTTCCCCTTCCCCTTTATTGACCAAATACTTGATATACTAGCTAGACAGGAATAATATTGTTTCCCGGATGGCTATTCAGGGTATAATCAGATTGCTATAGCCCCAGAGGACTAAGAGAAGACCATATTTACGTGTCTTTATGGCACGTATGCGTTCAATAGAATGCCATTTGGTCTCTGTAATGCACTTGCGACTTTTCAAAGGTGTATGATGGCTAATGTTACTGACATGATTGAAAGATTTGTAGAAGTGGTCATGGATGATTTTTCTGTGTTTGGGTGTTCTTTTGATAATTGTTTAATGAACCTTGATAAAGTGCTTTCTAGGTGTGAAGAGACAAACTTGGTGCCAAAATGGGAAAAGTGCCATTTCATGGTACGAGAAGGTATAGTCTTGGGGCACAAGGTGTCCAAAAAATGGTCTGCGGGAGGAAAAGGCAAAGGTGAAGGCAATTGAAAAATTGCCCCCACCAACATTCATTAAGGGCATTTGTAGCTTCTTGGGCCAGCAGGTTTTTATCGTCATTACATTAAAGATTTTTCAAAAATTTCATCTCCTATGTGCAGGATTCTTGAGAAAGATATCCCCTTCAAACTCGATGATGCTTGTCTGAGAGCATTTGAAGAGCTGAAGAACATATTGGTGACTACGCCAATTATCATTACCCCGGACTGGGCGCTGCCATTTGAGTTGATGTGCGATACGAGTGACATCACAATAGGAGTTGTTTTAGGGCAAAGGAGGGATAAAAAATTTCACTCCATTTACTACGCGCGCAAAACTCTTAATCCAGTTCAGATGAACTACACTGTTACTGAAAAAGAGTTGCTTGCAGTGGTGTGGGCTTTTGACAAGTTCGGATCTTATCTAGTGGGAAACAAAATCATCGTCTACATCGATCATTCAGCTATAAGGTATTTGTTTGAAAAGAGAGACGCCAAGCTGAGTCTGATTTGTTGGGTCTTCCTTTTGCAAGAATTTGACTTGGAGATCCGAGATCGAAAAGGAACAGAAAATTAAGTGGCTAATCACTTGTTCAGATTAGAAAATCGGAACCATATGGCTGAGGGAGGATCGAATTAGGAAACATTTCCGGATGAACAGTTATTGGCAGTCACCTCAAGTGAAGCCCCGTGATATGCAGACTACGTGAATATTATTGCAAGTGGGGTGATGCCACCAAATTGACACCTGATAATAGAAGAAGATTTATACATGATGTGAGGCTCTACTTGTGGGATGATCCATTCCTATAAGCAGTGCGCAGATCAATTAGTACGAAAGTGTGTTCCTGGGGAGGAGGAGATGAATGCAATCTTGCATGACTGTCACGCTTCTCCATATGGAGGTCATCACGGTGGGGATAGAACAGCCTAAAAAGTGCTGGAATCGGGTTTTTATTGGCCAAAATTATTTAAGGATGCACGTGCCTTTGTAAAACAATGCGACAGGTGCCAAAGATCGGAACAATCACAAAGAAGCATGAGATGCCTTTGCAAAATATTCCGGCAGTAGAGATCTTTGATGTTTGGGGATTTATTTCATGGGACCAATCCCATACCCTAATGGTCACAGATACATCTTGCTGGCAGTCGACTATGTGTCTAAGTGGGTGGAGGCCATTGCTTTTCCTACTAATGACGCAAAGGTAGTGGTAAACTTTGTAAAAAAGCACATCTTTACACGCTTTGGAACTCCAAGGGTTCTCATAAGTGACGGAGGGACTCACTTCTATAACAAGTTGTTGAACAATGTTCTATCAAAGTATGGAGTGAAGCACAAGGTTTCCACCGCCTATCTAGTGGTCAAGTGGAAGTGTCAAATAAAGAGGTGAAGCAAATTCTAGAGAAAATGGTGAGTGGAAATAGGAAGGACTGGGCCATAAAGCTTAACGACGCATTATGGGCGTATCGAACTGCATACAAGACTCCTATTGGAACATCTCCGTATAAGTGGGTTTATGGGAAGGCATACCACTTGCCCGTCGAGCTTGAACACAAAGCCTACTGGGCGATTAAAAGGCTAAATATGGATATGGACTTAGCCGGCAAGAAGAGGTTGTTACAGCTCAATGAGCTTGATAAGTTTCGATTGCACGCGTACGAAAATGCCAAATTGTACAGAGAAAAGACCAAGAGGTGGCATGATAAGCACATCCAACATCACGAGTTTGAGTCAGGTCAAGAAGTTCTCTTGTTTAATTCGAGGTTGAAGCTTTTCCCTAGAAAGCTTAAATCTTTATGTGAGGGTCCTTTTATAGTGGTTAGTGTGAAGCCTCGTGGAGCGGTGGAATTGCGTGATACGAGTTTAAGTGGTACATTCTTCGTAAATGGGCAGAGAGTAAAACACTATTGGGGTGGTGACATTGCACGTCACAAGACCTCGATGGACTTAGCCGATGCGTGAAGAACGTGTTACGTCGTGTTGCATCATGCCGCAATATTAAATCAGGCGCTTCTTGGGATACAACCCAAGCATTTTATTTTGCTTTCATAATTTGCTAACTTTTCCCTTTCATTTCGTATTTTTATTTTTTAAGGGCTCCTTAATCTGTTGTATTTTGTAGGAGCTAATATTTGTATGTAATTTATCCAAAAAAAGGCTCCAGGTATGGGAAAACAGGGTGGATGCGTCGCATCCCCCTCAGCGCCGAAGATTAGAGGGCCAACTGCACAAGGCAGTGAAGTCAGCCCATAGCGCCAACAGGCGCATCCTTGCAAAAAGTTGGAGAACTAACTAGGATGCGTCGCGTCCGAGCTCGCGCGCACAGGTAAGTGTTATATTTTTATTACACTTCACACGCCTTAAGACCCCAAATCCTTCTCCCACCCGTTTCCTCTTAACCCAAACACACTTGCTTGCTACTCCTTCACCTTTCGTTTTGAGGCATCTAATGGTCGTAGGCTTCCGCGCAACCAAGTTCTAGGCTGAATTAAATGCAATTAAAGTACGTAACTGCTTGTATTATGATGTACATTGTTCTGGTAGTGCATTATATATGCTCTATGCATATGGGTATACCTTGACACTAAGTGTGGGGTTGCATGTGATAGAGTGGGGTTGAAAGTCAATCTTTCATGGTGCATAATGATGTGTATACGTGTAGTGCTCACTCCTGTACTACCAGATAATTGTTTCCTGCTAAATGCCATGATCTATGTTTGAATGAAGTACTGAATTGGCGTAAGCGTGTGGATGATAGGCAGTGCACACTTTTGCACAAATGCTTCATACCTGAAACTTCACTATTTTGAGAGCTAATTGTTGACCTCTTTGTTATTCATGTACATAGGTTCACAATGGAGGCAAAAATCAAAACGTCCAAACAACAAGAACGGGATAATGACAAGCAACCACCTAAAAAACCTACTAGAAAGGCAGCATGTGCTCTAAACCCACGGAACAAAAGAAAGCGAACTGAGAAAGCAAAGGCACAACCGACTAGGCAATTAATTGATGAGTCAAAGAAAGAACAAGGGGAACCATTAGTGAGGAGGAATGTAAAAAGGGGTACCACAACAACATCAGTAAGACCTCTAGGTAAGGGGATAGAGTTCAGAGAACCTGTGCCGCAGCAGACCAAATCCACAAAGCAGGTTGATCTAAAAGATAAAGGGAAGCAGAAGGCTACCTCAGATCTGAGTCCTAGTCTGATTCGGACTATGAGCTCACAAATGTCAACATGAGTGACGAAGATGTGGGTGAACCAATTGACCGAGCTGCTTGAGAGAAGAAACTTTTTAGTGAAAAAGCATTTCGGGCCTATGAGAAATTCCTGGATTCAAAGAAATATATTCTGGAAAACCCAATCAACATTCGAGCACTGAAGAAGAATTACCCAGATCTTCGGAAATCAATTCGAGATGTGCAACAATGGGGACCTATCTTGAAGGGCCACGGCAAGACCAAACTTACTATTGTTAGAGAGCTTTATTCCAATTGGCGTTATTCACGGGGCAGCATTGTGATAGTACGAGGGGTGGATATCAATGTCTCAGCTGAAGCTCTGAATAGGTTCTTAGGGGTTCCACACACACCAACGGACAAGTATGACTCTATATGCAAAGAGCCTAATCACTCACATATTCAATTCGTCCTATGCCCTACCAGGAAATGTGCAAATTGGAAGCATGGAAGTGTAGAGTACCATTCTCTAGCCAAAGAATTCATGAGCGCATTAGTACATGTGGTGCTGAATTTCATATGCAATCGCTTGATGTCGTGCCAACACAAAACTCATGTCCCTCGATACCGAGCACTAGTGTTGGATGCTTTATGGGATGGGATCCCGCTCAACTTGGGAGACATCATGCATGACCAGATGCAGAACACCAGGATGAACTACAATTGGAGGTTGTTATATGCAAATACCTTATCGTCTTACTTGACGGAGATGGGAGTGCTATGGGACAAGAAAAATGATGACATCAAGTCTAATGCTCCAGGAACATATGATGTTACTCATGTACTAGATCCGAACAAGGGGAGGGCTTCTAGTTCACCATTCAACAGTTGTTTAAGCATATGAGAGCTGATATGCAAGAGAATAGGGCTGAGCTGATCGAGACTCTTGCAGAATTGAGTGCCACTAGATATGAGTTCATTTAGACTCGTGCAGAATTGAGTGCCACTAGAGGTGAGTTGATTCAGACTTGTGCAGATCTAAGCCGAGTCCAGGTGAGCAGGCTATGATGATGAGGGAGGTATCACTACTCCTCCGTGCATTGGCCCAACGTACAAATATAGATATTTCACAATTGCTTGCACCATCCCCTACTGGACCATCCACTTATGCCCCTCCTATTGTCTCGGACAATCCATCCACCATACCCACTGAGACCGTCGTGCAGCATGCTACAGACTCAGCTCCACTTGGTGATGATAGGAATGTGGCCGAGCCCCCTATTCGTGAGGATGCTATTGCTATGCCAGAGGGGGTCATAATAAATGTCGTAGATGTTTCGAGTACTCACTCAGTTGTTGCCACTACTACTTCCGTCCTAGCTTTTCAAACCATTGCTTATGATGCTCCTCCACAGACCACGTAGGAGCCCTCCACATCGACTTAAGGGAGTCTCTTCTCACCCTACTCTACTTATTTTGTGTGCATTGGGGACAACGCACGGTTCTAAGTATGGGGTGGGGGTTATTCATTTTTTTGTGTGGACGAATGTACTTAACTATTACAATCTTTGTTGCTTTTGATACTTTTGGGGCGGTAATATTCACTGAATTAATGGCCTGTAATAATTAGTAAATTCGTCTATAAGCAGTAACTCTCAGTCTCTTGTTGTTTCTAGTTGTAGTAAGTAGCCTTATAATAGTTTGATAAAAAAATAGAGTGATAAAATCAGAAAATAGAGGACTTTTCCCGTCATGGACTATCTGAACAGTTCTCTCGAGGGATTAAGGTCCTTAGAGAAATACAAAAAGATTTTCATTTGATTCTAGGAATTAGTGTTAGTACTAGGAAATTGATAGAAAAATTAAAAAAACAAAAATATTTTATTTGCTTTGAGTAGTTAGCCTAAGTTTAATCTATTAGGCAATAATTTTCCTTGGTTTTTCTTTGGCCATCGGTTCTTTTTCAAGAGATGAATTTTTGAACCAGCTATTATTTTTTATTTTTAGAGTAGTGTAGGATATAAATACTTAGACTAAATTCAGCACATCTAGTGACTTATTTAATACCAACAGAGTTAGACATGGGCATGTGGATTATAACTTTCTCCATGAGTTTTTGAGAACTATTTTTTCCTTGAAAAGTAGAATAGTTTTTTTACGCTTAGGCTCATTCTCTTGACTCCTATGCTAATTGTTGTGCCTCGTGCATTAAAATTGTGGCTTAACTCTGTACTTGCTTTGATTGAAAGTTGGAATGTATCCATACTAATTGAATCATGTGCCATTGTGTGGTGAGATTTTTGTATAGTTCCATGCAGTATATTTGTGTCTAGAACTTGCCCTGCATGTGAGTTGAAGCGAAATCCTAGGTTTTGCTCGGTTTGAAAAATGATTTTAGGCCTTCTTTGATCCTTTTTGAATTGTAATTCTACCACAATAAAATCATCCCTAGTAGCCATTTTGAGCATGTAAACCTTTTATTTGGCACTCATAGTACGAGCCTATACCCTTTTGTTTTTAATTGAAACTTTTGATCCTTGTACCTCTTAAGGCACTTTAATTGTGAAATAAGCACTAAAAACAGTAAGGAAGGGATTTGGGTTGCTTTCGAGTGGAACCAATGAAAGGGAGAAAGGTGCATTTATGTTGTAAGATAATACACCACTAGCGAAAATTGAAATATCGAAAGAAAAAAAACTGGAAAAAAAAATGTATGTAGACAAATAAACTATTGTCTTGTTCTTGCTAGTGGGGTATAAATTAAAGTAGTGCATTAAGAAAGAGGGAATATTTTTGGGGTGATATTGTTGTGAAATTGAAGTGGGGTTGAAGAAAGTTGCGCTTGAAGTGATTACTTGACGTGTTAAAGTGCATAGGAGGGTTAACCACTATTTCCTATATCTATCCTACCCGTTCCTTAGCCCACGTTACAACCAAGATAAAGCCCTAATTGATTTTACACTGAGCGGGCCTACATTAGTAGAGATTTACATAACGGGCAAACCTATGGTACCTTTTGTGCGCATGTGAACCTCTTTGAGAGAGTGAGTGAGCTTTTCTATTGTTTGAAGTCCTTAAATTACGTTCGAATTTTATTTGAGTGTGTGGACTATCTCTCTTTGTTTTGTGGTGAGGGCACATGTTTCATGATGGATAGGTGACTATATTAATCTCTTCAGTCAGAGTGAGTAAGTTGGCCTGAAAGTAGTTATGCTAGGGAATTAGTTTCTGAGGTTGAGATGTCCCGAAGTTGCTATTTGATTATTTTGAACTGTTCACTATTGTGCTTGGCATGTTTTTGGAGAAGAAAGTCTGAGAATGCATATGCAAAGGGCTAATTGTTGGTAACAACCAAAGTCATAGGTGCTTGAGCTTAATTGAAATGTGTGGCTTGATAGCGATAAGCTTAATTTTGTTCGATCTATTGTAGGTTGATTCTACTTTGCTCGAGGACGAACAAAGGTTTAAGTGTGGGGTGGTGTTGTGGGGCATATTTTTATGTGTTATATGTTACTTTACACATGTTTTAACCGTTATTTTGGTGCTATTTGATCTTTAAAGTGCCCAATATGTGTTAATTATTGGTTTTATGACTAATTGAGTTGTGCATGATGATTTAGGATATTTGAAGTGCAAAAATATGAAGAAAAGGTGCTCCAGCTATAGGAGAAGAGGGTGGATGCGTCGCATCCAACCTAGGGAAAAGTGTATTTGGTGCATCCTTGGAAGTAAAGTCGGGAGAAGGCATCCACCTTAGCATCCGCACCTGGGCACATCAAGGA